GACTGGGGCCTTCGCCTGGCACACCCTGCGCTGTGGGACTGGGGCCTCTGTTCCTTGAGCAAACAATGTCTTCACTGGTGCTTGGAGTGCTCATTTATTTTGATGGAATGGGAGGTTTGTTTGCAATTTACATTAAGATCTAGGATTGTTTTGGTAGGTCACTGAATGGGCTGTGAAGAAATTAGGACTCTCACGCTATGCAGACAGACCTTCTGGGACGTATAGCGGAGGCAACAAGCGGAAATTGTCAACTGCCATTGCACTGATTGGATGCCCACCAGTCATCTTTCTGGTTAGTGAGAAATTGTGATCTAGGAGTAACAAAGGCAATGACTGGGAATTTTCTCGGGGTTACTTTACTCAGATTACATCTCACTCCGATTGCTGCTAACATCTGCAGCAGAGTAGGAGAAACTCCAAGGGATTCCTAGACAATTTCTGAAGGGTTCAGAAAGTTTTAATGAAGCATGGTTACAAACATTGTTGATGATGATTTCATATTGTGGTACAATTGATACAGGTCCAGGGTGATTTGGGGGCCGTAAAGATCCAGGAATATTCATAGCTCAATCTTTGCTACATTCAGCACTTACTGATTTAAGGCAGATTGTCAACTGGAGTGATCTAAATTTCATTGGGGAGGGAAAAGAAAATTGTCCAGGGTTTGCCTGAAAGGAGCAGGCTTGTCTTCTGCTTTCCACAGAGCTGAACAGCCTATTAACTGTTGCTGACCAGTTTCTCAAACTATAAGAGGTGTCGATGTATACTGCCCAAGTATGTCTCTAGAGCTGGTCCCAGTGAGAGTAACAAACTTCAAGCAAACGTAGACCAAATTTATAACACTTATTGTCACCAGAAGCTGTAGTCATTCTTCTCTTTAATGGCAGGATGAACCTACGACGGGAATGGATCCCAAGGCCAGGCGCTTTCTCTGGAATTGCATCCTGAGTGTGATCAGAGAAGGGAGATCAGTGGTACTCACCTCACACAGGTTAGTGGCCATTAACTGCTGCTTCCTTTAGAGACAAATACTTTGGGAAATGTGTTCCGAAGCCCACATACAGCCTGTTCTAAAATAAGACTGTCAGCCGAGTCTCTGGCCTCACGTGCTGTTTATCACGGAAGTGGCTGACATCCATTTGTAACATGACTTGTCTATGTCTCAGGTCAGCCTCTCTGCTGCTGAAACCCTCATCTGTGCTTCTATTTCAACTAATGCTGTGATCTTCTGACTGGGCTATCATCCTCCACCCTCGATAATCTTCATCTCTTTCAAAACACAGCCAGTATCTGACTCATTCCGACTCACCAACTACCCCTATCTACGCCACCTTATGTTGATTGCTGGCTCCTCCATGTATCAAACTAAAAATAAAGGAGATGACTGCAATGTGGTTTGAGCCTATTTTACTTGTGCATGGTAACTTGTGCATGGCTGCAGAAGATGTCGGCAAGGTTCCAAATGGGTATTTTGTCTCTGCCTTCATAAAGGAGACAGATAATGGAAACATTCTGGTTAGAAAGGTGGAGTGCAAAATAACCATAATGAGAGGGAAGTAGTGGAGAAACTGACCTCCTTGAAGATTCCTCCTTGAATCACCAGGACTGGTTGACTTGTATCCCATGCTATTAAAGGAAGCCAAGGAGGAAATAATGAATGTTCTGAGGATCATGCTGTAGATACACTTGAGGTACCAGAGCATTGAAAGTCTACAAATAAAGTACAATTATTCAAAAAGGCTAGAAGGGATAGGCCAATGATTATAGAATTTGATGGTAGGCAAATTCCTGGAATCAATATTGAGAGAGAGGATTAACTGTAACTTGGAGAGTCATAGATTAATCAGGGATAGTCAGCATGGTTTTGCTTAGGGATTGTCATTTCTTTCTTAATTTTTTTGAGGATGTTACAAGGACAATTGAGGCAGTGATTGTTGTCTACATGGATTTTTGAGGCATTTGACAAGGTCCCACATGACAGACTGTTTTAAAAAAAAACTAAAACTGATGGGACATGGGAATGTGCTGAGTTGGATCCAAAATCAGCTCAGTGACAAGAAACAAAGGATCGTGGTTGTCAGATGCTGTTGAGAATGACAACTGGTTCCTAACGATGAGGGCTTTGCAGGCCTCAGTTTTTGACTTCTTGCTATTTGGGGTACGTATCAATGATTTAGACTTAAATGTGGGAGACATGATTGGGAAATTTGCAGTTGAGACACAACACCAAAGTTTACAGTACATGATAGGTTTGACTATGACTTCAACTATAGGATATCAGTGGATTGGTTGAGTGGTGGAAAAGTGGCAAATGGAATTCAGTCCATGAGAAGTGGAAGGTTATGCATTTGGGGAAGTCAATAAAAGCACAGGAATGCACAGTGAACAGGAGGGTATTGAGAGGAATAAAGGAAGTGAGAGACCTCAGGGTACGTGTCCACAGCTCCCTGAAGGTGCCAGGACTGGTGGTTAAGGTGGTAAAGAAGGCGTTGACATGCCTTCTTTCATTAAGTGTGGCATTGAATATAACAGCAGAGATGTAATGCTGGAATTATGTAGGACACTAGTTAGGCCACAGCAAATATTTGGTGTACAATTCTGATCACCACATTACAGGAAGGACGTAATTGCTCTGGAAAGGATACAGAGATTAACAAAAATATTGCCGGTGGAGGGGTGGGGTGGGAGCTTTAAGATTGAAGATTGAGGAAAGATTGGACAGTGTTGTTTTCCTTAAAACTGAGGAGGCTGAAGGATGACTTAATGAGGGGCTAGGATAAGAGTGGGTAGGGTAGACTTGTTTTCCATAGCAGAAAAGGTAGTTACTAGGGTGCACAAATTTAAGGCGATTGGTAGAAAGATTAGAGGGAACACAAAGAAATGTTTTTTTCACCCAGAGTGTGGCAGATGTCTGGAATTTGCTGTCCAGTTTGGCAGAAACCCTCAATTAATTTAAAAACACCCTGGAATTGCATTTGAAGCACTATAAGGCTATGGATCAGGTGCTGGAAAGTGGGATTAAAATGGGACCCTAGATTTTTCAGCCAGTGCAGACCAGATGGGCAGAATGGCCTGTGTTGTTAGTTTTTTATGGAAATGTTGAAATCCATTCATAACTTTGTCTATCCCTGACTCTAATCTATTCCTGTTCTATAGGCCATTAAGAACTACCTTTTCTTCCACTGCCTTGACATGACTATCTTCAGCTGTCCAGGTCCCTAGTTCTAGAGTACCCTGTCTCTCATCCATCCTCCGTTAAACTTCAACCTTCAGTCAACTCTTCTAATCTGTCTTTGGCACCAAGACAACCATTTCCTGATGAAACTTCTGTGAAGTGCCTTGTAATATTTTTCACTGTTAAAGAAGCCCTGTTGATGGAAGTTATATCGGTAGTTCAGACCTGGGCCTCAGCTAGCCACCAAGCCTGATTGGATGCAGTGACTCCAGTCAGGCAGAGGAGAAGGATTGATTAAAGTTGGATGTTGGATTTAAAAAATGTTCTAAAGAGAGAAAAAGAACAGAGGAAAAGGAAGATAAAGTAATGTGGGGATCTGATCTATGCTAACCATGTGACTATGTAATCCAGTCAGAAATGTTAGCTCATTATAAGCACAAGATTTTTAAAGTTTGTGTGCTTTGGTTGATAGATTAACCATGATCTATAGATTTCTGCGTAAGTAAAAAGATGACAGTATGTGTGTATCTGATGATATTTTTATTCCTTGTTAGCATGGAGGAATGTGAGGCACTGTGCACGAGGATGGCCATCATGGTGAATGGGCGATTCCGCTGTCTTGGCAGTGTGCAGCACCTGAAGAGCAGGTAACTTCATTCTAATTGTCTTTTCAAATCAAATTAGGAATCAAGCAATAATGCATGCATGTTTCACTGTATATTTTCCACACAGCAAATCGGGAGCTACATTAATATTCTACCTCCTGAAGATATAGTTTTTGAATAAGTCAAACCTATTATTTTCTTAACTCATTGAATAATGATTTTGTTTTTTTTTTGTAAATCACCAATGGAAGAAGCCATGTGAGGTTCTTGTATTACATTGGTCTATTGAAATCACAATGCATCAAATAAACCAACAATTTCCCAAACTTTCTTTTAACCTTCGATTGCCTCCTGTTGAGGGCACTGTCGGTATTTATTTAAGCTAATGCATTGCAATGCTGAAACATCACTGATGTTGCCCACAGTAATAATGTTATGGTCATCTGAATTACAGTTACTGTAACAGTTACACAATTACTGCTTGTTTCAGCATCACTGCCCATCAAGTTACCATTACTTATCTGACTCTTTAATTGGATTAGTGCCATGTAATTCACTGCCAGCCACTCAGCATCTCCTGTACAATTTCAAACTGAGAGATCAAGATAAATTGGTCTTTCAAATGATGTTGATAGTGCTGGCCCCTACATGTCTGACCTACTTAACATTAAATTGCCTGAATCGATAGTGCTGTCCTCTTGAGACAGACTATTGTTACGTCAGATCACACTCCAGCACAAATCCTACACAGAGGGAACACAAAGAAATGTTTTTTTTCACCCAGAGTGTGGCAGATGTCTGGAATTTGCTGTCCAGTTTGGCAGAAACCCTCAATTAATTTAAAAACACCCTGGAATTGCTGCAGAGTGGTGACATGGAGAGACTGATGAAACATTAAACCAAAACTCCAATCTCCTTGTTCAGATGGACATTAAACATTCCAGGGTATAGTTTGGAGATCTGACAGTTCTTTCGTACTCCGGTCCATATCCCAAACTGGCCGCTTGTTGCATGTTATATGTAGGACATTGCTCAGCAAAAAATAGCTGCTGCTTTGTTAATATAATTACAGTAATCACATTACATGGAAACCATGTTCAAGTTCCTTTTGAAAGACAATAGTTAGTAAGTAAATGCAACTTATGTTTTCTAAATAGTTCCATTAAGTGACTGCCCAGGCATCAAGCTTTGTTAATTCTTCCAGACTTTATTTTCCATTTGGAATTTTTTTTCGTGTAATATTTAATTTTCTCTCCATATGTGACCTGATGTATCTGTAACCAAAAAGATAAGCCTCTTGTGGTGCAGTGTTAGTGTCCCTACCTCTGAGCCAGGTGACCCAGGTCATACCTGTTCTAGAGGTGTGTAATAACATCACTGAACAGGTTGCTTAAAATATATCTACATCCCAGCATGTCTCAACCCTTCTGTCTCATAGAGTTATAGAGATGTATAGCACAGAAACAAATGCTGTAACAAAATCTGTAAACCTTACTACTTATATAAATTATTTGGATGTGAATATAAATGACAAAAAGCAATGGACCAGTGCCAGTTATTGCATTTCCTCACGTGTTGCAGCCTCTCCCTGTCCCAATGAACTAGGATTTGGAGCAGAAACGTGCAATTTGTCTCGCCTGTGCTATAATGTGGACTCTTTGTTCTGTTTTCACACATGAAATATTCTTTATATTTTTAAAAAGCATTGCATTAGGAGGAAGAATCAAAACTTGCCATCAATATCTATATTTGGAAATGTTCTACAGCCCAACTGATTAATCTTTGCCCTAGGTTTGGAGACGGTTACACCATCATCCTGAGGATGGACAGTACCACGCTGGATTCATCTAATGTTGAGGAATTCATGGTGTCCACATTCCCAGGCTGCGTGTTGAAGGAAAAGCACCACAGCATGTTGCAACATCAGATACCAACGGGGTGCTGCTCCCTGGCCAAAATCTTCAGTGCCCTCATGACCAACAAAGAAAAACTGAAGATTGAAGACTATTCAGTGTCTCAAACTACATTAGATCAAGTAAGAACTAATTTTCCAGATACACTAGTGATACATTACAGTGCAGCTCCTAAACCAGGGCTGAGACCCTGCTGAGTGGCACACCACCAGCTCTGATGTTTGCCAGTAGACCAGGAAAGGCAAGCCCTGAAGGTACACACGGTTAAAAGTACTTGTGTCCACGTGCCAGCTTATCTTTATAAAGAGCTGGAACTCAATCGCAAACATTTTAAAGATGCAATATGTTTATGTAAATATTTCCCAATACTAAATCAGGTCATTTTAATGTTTGCACTAATTCCAGTTATACTGCAGTTGATGTATAGTTCTGGGGATGTCAGGGTGCTTTTTGGAGACCAGCAATGGATTCTATGCTCAGTGGAAATTATTTTATAAAATGTATTTCTGGGCACCAACTGCTGCTGGTCGGGTTGCAGCTGCTGAAAAAGCAGGATCTGTTCCCTTCCACCATCACTTCATCTCCCAACCTTGCTTTGCTCTCCTGTCTGGCCAGTCCCACCACCTTTTCACCCCACTGTCCCTCCAATAAATTCTAAATGAACTTGCCAGTACAGGTACTGAATATAACACAATGGGGACATAACTGGCTTAAGTGTACATTATCTTGTGTGCTGAGCTGCCCCTCAAGTCTAACTTGCGACAGTGCAGACAGTTTGTTCAGGGGACCACAGGAATAAATTCAACAACAAACTATGGCAGTGTGGGTGGATGGTAATTCCACTTGGTATCATGGTTGTGGGAAAAGAGGAGTAAGCTGCTGCACTCACCCAGCTCTTCTGAATTTACAGAAAAGTTGAAAAATCTGTGTTTAGCCATTTTGTGAGCCACATATTGTTATAATTGTTTCCCATCTCATGTTGAAATGTGGCCCATGTCGGAGAATCACTTGTGTTGAATCTCAAGGGCAATACAAATATAATTTGAATTTAAAATATGAAAACATATGTAGTATTACTTTACTACAAATCAGGGACATCAAGGACAATGGATTGCAGAGTAACAGGTAGGTTTTCAGACTATGCTGACATTCATCATCCAAACTCGCAAGTAAGATTGGTTCTTTGTATGAAGTAACGGACAATTATCCATATTGTTACACGTCACTGGGGTCAACCCACTGGAAATCAAGCCTCGCTATTCCCAGAGTCTTCACAAAAGCTAAAGATGCTAAAATGTAGGCAGAATTCCCCAATGTATTTGTCTTTTAGGACAAGGTGTCAGAAAACATGGGCCAGGTTTCTGTGCTTAAAAAGAGTGACTATTTATTACAAATAAATAGATTCTAGCTACAGGCAAATAATTACGAACCATCGATGTATAACTCTACTAGTTAAAAATCTAATCCACTTATAAAACACCTGTACACTTAAACAGACACAAAGAAAGGATGTTATTAGTGAAGAGAAAGATTTGGTGTGTAGGGGGGATCGACAGCCCATTACTCCCTGTCCATGGGGATTGCTGAGATGATCCGAACACTGCTTCTCAGTCTTCCTTCTACAGATATTTTCACTTGTTTACAGGAGACACAGTATGTCTGGTTATAAAGGTCTTGATTATTAATTAGAAGTCCCTGCTTACAGCAATTGATGATAGGAAATGAACTAGCTATCATCATACTTAAGATATTTTCCACTGCAGAACAAAAACTGCTCCTTCTCCAAAGATCCAATGACTTTTGCCTCAAACATTTACACCCTTGAGTTGGTCACCTGCCTGCGATCCAATCATATCGCAAAAATAACCAAAGAACTGCAGATGCTGGAAATCAGAAATAAAAACAAATTGCTGGAAAAACTCAGCAGGTCTGGCAGCAGCTGTGGAGAGGAAGTAGAGTTAACATTTGGTGATCTAGCAGTTCCTCCGTTTCCTGGTCGGTATCCAAAAATGGTCACTTGGTGCGTGCTATTTGTTAGACATTGCTGTGCAAAAAAATAGCTGCTGCTTTGTTAATGAGTTGTTCATGTATGTTCCGTCTGCAAAAATGACCCTGAGCTTGCTGTTGCTTGCCAACTTAAATAGACCACCGTGTTCCCTGGCCAACATCTCTCTCTCAGGCTTGCTGCAGTGCTCCAGAAAAAGCTCAATGCAAGCTGGAAGAATAGCATCTCATTTTCCACTCAGGGACCCTGCAGCCTTCAGGAATTGATACCAAGTTCAATAATTTTAGGCCTGAGCACCTTCTCCCATGTACTTACCCTAACCCCATACACCAGGCCTTGTCATTACGTGGGCTGTTACTACAAACATTGTCACCCCTTAATCGTCCCCTTTAGCAGCTGTTGATTTCCCAGGCTGGCCTTTATGCATTCCTTTGTCTGCCCAACCTTTATACTCTCTCACTGGGCTCCATCTCCACCTACCATTTACTCCTCCTCCTACCCCATCTTCAGCATATATACCTACTTTTCTCCGGTCTAAATCAGTTCTGAAGAAGGGTCACTGGACCTGAAGCATTAACTCTGCTTTCTCTTTACAGATGCTGCCAGACCTGCTGAGTTGTTCCAGAAGTTTTTGTTTTTGTTGCTAATCAAATTGCTGTTGGCAGGCAGAAGGCGTTTGTCATCGTTAACTGTCACTAGTCATAGACCAATCGGTTTCCTGTTGTCAACCAAATCTTCATTTGTACGCAGCCCTTGGCTCCAGCTTGTCTCTCACTAGACCACCCTCACTCCTTGAACAAGTAGCTGTGTAAATAACACTTAACATGAGTGCTTTTTGGTGAAGCAATGCAACAACAATCCTTGGCTTTAAAATCAATTCTTCCATTTCAGTACACAATCAAAATACAAAAAAATAAACATATATCATTTTTACAATGCTGTTGGACCCTGTTCCAAGGAGTATGTGGGAGAATTAAAATCCATGAAAATAATTCATAAATGTTTAAACAAATATTTTTAGTTATTGGATCTGGATTTTTCATGTTCCATTAGTTAACTTTTCCCTTTCCTTGTCTAGGTATTTGTCAATTTTGCCAAGGACCAAAGTGAAGACTACTATTTGAAGGACATTTTCACACATGGACCCCAATACCAGGATACAGTAAAGCGCATCACAAATTTTTTAGCAGACGAAAACATGAGGGAGAGTTCAGTATGATCAGGGTATAAGCAAATCCACTTGCTATCTGCAATGCAAATAACAGATTCCAAATGCAACAAGTTCAAGGGTGTTCCAGGACTGAACCATCTGTCACTGGATGATCAACAACCGATTCCTCAACTGCAGACCTACCTTCCCTGCCCCTATTTCAAGTTACCATTAATTACCTTCTGAAAAAGAAACTTCTATTCCTAACCTTAAATCTTTCTGGATTTGTATGAACAATGGTTGAAACGTACAAACTGTTATATTTATACAGTTTCTTCATATCTTTTAGTTCATTTTGAATTTTTTTAGCTCTTGCAGCTGAAGTGTTTACATTGCAGTTTTGTCTGGAATTTTTTGAAACAGAAAAAAAATGAAAAAAAATCTCATGTTGATACATTGCAGTAAACTTCCACCCCTCCACTCCTAATGGTTTTGCCCTGCCAGAGTGAGCCATGGTATTTTGCTTTTTTGATGATAAAGGGATGTTATACTGCTAGATGTGGAGGGAGAGTGAGAAATGCAAGGATTAAAAGCTTTTTTTTAATGTGCACTGGATAAGGTATGGGCTAATAAAATTAAGATAGGATCAGATTGCCCCATTACACTGGAGGTATTTGAGATTTTCTCCATTCCTTACCTAAACTGCTATAAGATGGAATATTGCTATCAGTCTTAGCTACATGATACCCTCGATGACCTTTGACATCACTGTCCCAAAATCTGGATTTTGTTCAGTTTTGTGTGCATCTAATTTTCATGTACTCAGTGTAAATGAACAAGGGTAGTTTTCACACTGAATAGAACGTAACCACAGTTCTCTCACCTCTGACTCTGAGAAGGCTGTAGGTTTGTGTCCCAATTCAGGGACTTTCAGTTCACACAGGCTTGCAGTTCTTGCTGTTCGAAAATAAAATATTCCAATTTTTAAAGCAATAAACAAATAAATTATATCTCTTAAATTAATAAAGCACCTTTTTGAAAAGAAAATCACTGTTTACAGTACATGCCTGATATATAAGCACTGCCTGACCAGTGCAATTCTGACCACCAGGCATGTGTCTTATACATATGTTTAAAATCACTATCTTGCACCCATTCTAGCATTGTTGCTGGGTGCGCATATTTCATTCTGAGTCCAGATATTTATTTGATCTCTGGGATTTACTTGCAGGATCTAAGTTGATTTAATTTAAAAATAATTGCAGGAGTATTTCCAGCATGGTTTTCTGCACCTTGGAGCTTCCCGTAATCAACGAACTGTGACGTTGTCAGGGCACAGACAGAAAGTGCCTCCTCTCTCTCAGTGAATGAAGATCCTTGATACACAACTCTTGTTAACATTTTCCTTATCACCTAGGTGGACTGGGTTCCCACCCCTCAGTGGGCAGTGCATTATTAATGAAATATCAAATCAAATCCTCACTCTGATGTTTAAAGTCCAATGCTGACTGCAGAGCCATTTTCTAAATATATGCATAAAACAAAACAATCAAATGGAGCTGCAGTGGACAGTTAGCCATTGGTCACAGTCAGCTGTATAGATTATTCTATCTTGCTGTCAACATTAATATGGACTTTAAAGATAAATGGAAGTTTAGTCAGTTATGGGAAGTTTCCTTTCTGTTACACATCAATGAAAAATGTCTGACTGGGAAATGGATGGTCCATCTCTGTGCCTTGCATCAAAGGCGTCTAAAAATGAATAAAGCTTTCATTTTTATAGTGCTTTTCATTACCTCAGGAGTCCTAAAGTGCTTTAAAATCAATGAAGTACTTTTGAAGTATAGGAAAAGCAGCAGCTAATTTGTTCACAGCAAGATTCTACAAACAGGAATGTGATAATGACCAGATAATCGGTTTAAAATATTGGTAAAGATAGAAGTGTTGGTGAGGACCGTGGTAGAACTCCATGCTCTTTTTCAACATAACATCATGGAATCTTTTATGTTAATCTCAGATTGGGCCTATGCTTAACATTTCAAGAGATAGATGACACCTTCAGCAGAGCGGCACTCCCAAGTACTGCACTGAAGTGTCTGCCGAGATTAAATACTCAAAGTCTTTGGAGTGGTACATTGACTCAGAGGTAAGAACGGGGATATCAGAATGAGTCAACCTGACACTAGTTTACAAGTGGAAAAAGACCTGAGAGTGACTGACATTAAATCGTGCTTATGTACCTCATTATAATATTATCCTTGAGAAGCAGCACGGTGGCTCAATGGTTAGTGCTGCTGCCTCACAGTGCCAGGGACCTGAGTTTGATTCCACCTTCGGGCGACTGTTTGTAGGAATTTGCACATTCTCCCTGTGTCTGTGTGGGTTTCCTCCCACAGTCTAAAGATGTGCAGGTTAGGTGGATTGGCCATGGGAAATACAGGGTTAAAGGGAGAGGATAGGGGGTCTGAGTGGGATGCTCTTAGGAGGGTCAGTGTGGTTTCAATGGGCAGAATGGCCTGCTTCCACACTGTAAGGATTCTATGATTCTAAACGGCTTCACCCAAAGATGTACTTTACAAAAAGCATCCTTAATTAGGGTGCAAAATCAGAATTCTTGCATATTTAATATGTATTTTTAACTGTTATTGGGTAGAATCCTTCTATACCTGGCCATTCAACTTAATGGATATTTAACTGAAGATTTGATTACAAGTTTGAAAGATGTCACATTTAATATTGTGGGAATTTAACACTATTCCCCCCACCCCAATCTATATTACAACGTGACAAAAACCATTCAGGAGAACAGCTGAAACAAGGACAGGAACTTGCCTGTTATCTTCTCATGGGATTAGAATATAAACTGTTGTTATCAGCAGCCAAAAATGGCATCACCCAGAAGACAGGGGATGTCCACTCCAAATATAAAATGTGAGGTCTTGGTGATATCCTTGGCCAGTTTGCAATGTTAGCCTGATCTAAGTCCTGACTTCCCTACCAGGCCAAACCTGCTGAGAACTGTATCATGGACCTGAAGAAGCTGTGTGAGACAAGTTGTTTTAGGTGTCTTGTGACTTGCAGGGCAGGAGTGTTCCTTCAAATCCCTAAGGAAGTGGTGGGCCTTCCCATTGTATCAACAATGGAATCAGGTCCATCACCTACCTTGGATCCTTTTACCCTGGCAGCAATTCCAACCCAGTTAAAATTGAACCTTGTAGGGTAATGAAATTTATGCATGGACTAGAAGCCATATGCAGCCCACCAGTCTGCACTGATCGCTGTTACCGTGGCTACGCATCACTGGGTCTCCATTCATAATATCTATGGTATGTTGACAGGGCTTGAGTTAGTCCAGTTCTCCCTCCCTTTTCTCTTCAACTGCTGGGATTTTGGGGTTGTTGCAGTGTCCACAAAACTGGTTAGGAGGGCCTGTTCACATGCAACTGGTGAACTTCTTGTTTCTTCTTGTGAGGAAGGGAGTCCTCTGGTTAACTGGCTCACACATGACTAAAATAGGGTATCATAGGTGCCGATCAACTCTGGTTCCAACAGTCAGAGAGTGATGGTATGTGGCTGTTGAGAAATGTGTTGGTAATTGCCTTTGTTAAAAGGCCAGCAATAGTGGTGCGTAATCCTTCAAATCAATCCTATCTTGGTGCTTGTTCATGGTGCATTGGTCTGTTGATAGGGACTCCACTCTCTGGATGAGTAGCCACCAAGGGAGAGGTGGGGGGGGGGCGTTGGTGGAGAGGGGCAGAAGGGGTGGGCATGAAGAGAACTGAATGTGTGTAAATCCAGTTAATTATAGCTTTCCTGTGTAGCATCAGAGTGAGAGTTTCAATCTGAAACTGGCCAATTCGTTTTGACACTGATCAGTGATGGAAACCCAACAGTTAAAAATGGGTTAATGGTTGAAATGTTTCATACTTTGCTGTTTTGCTTTATTACTTTGCATTTTTGTATTTGCCATGTTCTGTAACAGGCCAGAAAATAAGCAAAGAACAAAAAGACAAGTGAATATTGGCAATGAAATCAACAGATTGTGAGCAGGGTACTGAAATGAGGGGCAATACTGGAATTGTCAGTAAATCGAGGTGTAATTCAGCTGTTCTAGCTGTTTCTGTAATCCCACTGAAGGGGCAGGGAAAGTCTGGAGAAGGGGTACTTTTTGTTCACAATACACTACTGTCAGTGTGATATCCTTGCCAGAATGTGTTTTCTTCCGTGCATGCAAACCAATACCCAATGGAGTTGTGGCATCTAGTGGACCTGGAGCTCTTCAGGTGTCTTGGTCTATGAAGTGTTTCCCATGAAACCACTCAGGGATGGTCCTGGCCACTGGTGACACTGGAGCCACCTAGCAGGGAAGGTTCCTCAACTCCAGGGTCTCTCCTCAAAATGCGCCAACCAAAATTCTTGCCCATCTGTTGCTCCATAAAATGAGGAATATGTATTTCACAGAAACTGTTTCTCTCCAGAAACTTCCTCTCCACTTGCACAATGAGGTGTGACAGAATTATTTTCTGAATATTCGGTAGGTTTTAAGGCTGAAGAACATTTTTGGGAAAATCTAGAAAAGACCCTTGCTTTCCATTCAGCCTGTCCTACAACATCAACAAGCACTAAGACTATTTTGAGTGAGATGCCAGGTACGATTCCAGTTCCTGGAGTTATTCATGTTACTCTTTTCTGGTTTGACTTTCTTGACAGGAGCAGCAACAATTGACATTAGGGGCATCAGAATGGGTGGGGAGTGGTGGCTGGTACAGTGAGTAATTAGTTGGGATTCCTGCTCCTGACAGCCATCCATTGACTCTGTGACAACAAGGTATGTGTGCGATTGTCAAGTGAGGACAGTATTGAATGTCCTCAGCCTGAGGTATTGAGGTTGATCATAACACAGACATTTCTGAGCTTGGCTGATCCACTAATTGTAATAGTGGAGGCAATTGGGCTTAGAACCTTCAAACTCAGATGGTTGTAAAATGTTATGGAGATAGTGATCTGGAGTTGCTGTAGATTGATTCTAGGTACAGTTCTTGAAAAACACATTCCAGTATCCTTTGTGTCATTTTATGGGTAAGATGGATATTTCAGGTCCACATTGCATAAGAGTCAAATGTGTGTATATTTTGAGCTGAGTTTTAACACTCTCTCAAGCTGCTCTTACTGTTGCTTCTGTTCTTGGTCCCATTCATTATTATATTGGACAGTGTACTAATTTTGACATCAAAATAAAGACTTACACTGAAGAGTATTTGCCTCCAGTATCTTCATTAAATGGTTTGAGTCCATCGTGTTGAGTTGAATAACTGGTCACTGTGTAGTCCATGTTTAAATCTGCCTCCTTGCAAATATATTTCTAGTATCCCAGGATTATCCAGTAACTCATGTCTTCCAGATTTTATGGCAGAACAACGAACATAGTTTATTTATTTAAGTGGAGCATTATTTTATTGACAATCTAAACTTCCTGCCGAATGTGGAAGAAATCGGGCCAGACTGGGACCAAAACAAATGTTAACATTCCCACTCAATCTGGACAGGGGCAGAACTTCCTTTTTCCTTTGAGACTAAGTCAGGAATCATGGGTAAAAGTGGAAGGCACCTCTGCTCAGGCGGAGGTCAGGTTTTCCTGCACAACTGCATTCTTCTCTGTTCATTACACATTCAAGCACCAGTAAAATGATAAATGTTGTTGGCAGAAAGTTTGGAAGCCCATCAGAATCTTCCAGGCTCTAACATCTGGTGTCATGTTTAAAAAGAACCCAGTCAGCACTTCAATCTCTGCTCATTAACCTCAAATGCCCCTGGAGATGTCAGAGACCAGGCAAAATGATGATTTGGTTTTAATGGTGCCTAGATAGAGGTTCTCCTGAAGACTGAGGAGAGAGGGATGCTCTTTTCCCAGGGAACAGTAACAGGACATTGTCAGAACTGCCACAAGAAGATGAATGATTTGCTGCACTTTGCCAAGCTATATACCACACTCTACTCAATGCATCATGATGTTATGAGTGAGTTAGCATTGTACGGTTGCCATTGCAGGGTATGTCACACAGAAGGTTGAGTGCAAGATATTTTCATCTGACCCTTCATGTGCAATCAATAACTCTCTCACTTCATTACTACTACCAATGTAACACCACTGGTACCATAGTGGTACTGCCCTTCTCATCTGCCCAAGGTTCACACTTTGTAAGGAGCTGCAACACTCAGCAGCTCACACAGCATCAGGTCATTCCCATCACAGTTAGGGGAACATAGACACCTGATAGCCTTTCACCAATGGCTCACATGGGGCAAGACCACAACCACAAAAGATGGTCTTATGAATTAGCTAATGCACTTTCCTGTCTGTGTCAAGTTTGCTGGCATCAGCCTGTGTCATTTGGATAGGCTTATTAGCTTGATTAGGCTTGATCCCTTGCATCATAAGTGTTTAACAACACTACAACCGAGGCCGTTCATGAACTGATCAACATGGAGAGGCTTTACCCCTAATACTATAAGCTTCTTTGCGAAGGAACAATCAGGTTACTGAAGACTTTTGTACTCACCAGAACTTAGAAGATGAAGTCTAGCACCCCCCAGTACTTGCCACATGTAAATAATATGGTCCCCATTATAGGCTAAATAAGGTTGTGCCCATGAAGATAACTATAGCAGATTCAAGACATACTAATGAATGGTGGAATGATTCCTGGGTTTGGAAGGCCAACCCACCTGAACGGTTCTAAGAACGTATTAGCAAAATCTTAACCCATCATTGGAAACTTGAATTTTTTTCTCCTGTCTAAGGTTATTGCCACTCCAGGATCAGAGTGGGTGTTCTGATTGCCCAGCAACTTCTAAAATGTAAGATGGACCTATTCAATATGTATTATAATTGCATTTTGTACGTGTGCTTCAGAACACGGAGTGTAGGTAGTAACCCTGAATTTGCTGAGATGTTTTTGCTATTAACCAGATACAGAATCTCAACTTTTGAGAAGGATCCTGCTGAGCAGGTGGATACATTGACATCAACGTGTGACATGAAAGGCTAGTTTTGACAGGCATTTGTGTTGTACAAAGAACTCAGTCTTCACATCAAACAATCCAGGGTGTATGTTCACATCATTATGGTGAGAGAGAATGTGCAAATCTAAGTTACCTGTTGTTCATCCACGAATTAGATAAAAATAAGATTTTCAACGTACTTTAATTTGAGAAAATTCTGAGCTGCTTTTTTTTCTTTGCAAATCTACATCTTTCAATAAGTCTTATTTGTAACTTTAGCCTGAATTGTTTGGTGTGCCAATTTGAAGTTATCTGCCTGTTGTAACACACACAATTTATATTAAGCATCTGTCTATCTCTGAATGAACAGATATGATAAAATGATAACTAAATCATTCACTCCATGCACTAGGTTTACAATTTAGCGTTTTTTTTAGTTGCTAGAAATTTCCATGTCTATCCGAACTTCAGTGGAACTGTGCAAAATCCAGATCGGTTGAAGTTGCCATCAGCAGGAGGTGGGATACAATGTTGCAGTTTGGAATGTATGCTAAAGATATCAAAGATGTTGAAATATGACAGAAGGTTGGGATTGGAGTCTGACTGAAGGTGGAGGAAGGAGGGCAGGATTCTTTCAGTGCCTGAGTTTTCACTGTTAACTCAACATTGATGAAGTAAAGAAATACTTGCATTTCAGATCATAAGAAGGCCATTCAGCCCCTCGAGTCTGCTCAGCCATTCAATAGCATAATGGCTGATCTGACGTTCCTCACGTCTACATTCCTGCATTTCAAACGTAACCCTTAACTCCTCTACTGATCAAGAATCTATCTTGGCCTTAAATGTACACAAGGATCTGGCCCCACATCTCTCTGCAACAAGCTGTTCCAAAGACACCGGACCCTCTGAGAGAAGAAATGCCTCCTCATCTCAATCTTAAGCTGGTGCTCCTTAATTCTGAGACTCTGCTGTCTGGTGTAGACTCTCCCCTGAGGGGAAACATCCTCACAGCATTTACTCTGTCAAGCTCCTTAAGAATCCTATATGTTTCAATGAGATCACCTCTCATTCTTCTAAAGACCAGTGACCAGAATCCCAACTGGTTAGCCTTTGCTCATGAGACAATCCCTTCAAACTGAGGATCATCCTAGTAAACCTTCTCTGAACTGCTTCCAATAAATAATAAGAGGACCAAAACTGCTCACAGTACTCCCAGTGGTCTCGCAGCACCTTGTACCACTGCAGTAAAACTTCCCTACTCTTGTACTCCAACCCTCCTGAAATAAGGGCAAACATTCCATTAGCCTTTCTGATTACCTGCTGCACCTGTATACTAGCTTTGTGTTGTGTAATACCTTTCACAATCTCAAGACATCTCAAAATGCTTCAGACAATGAAGTCATTCCTAAATGCAGTAAATATGTCAGTCAATATGCCTACTGCAAGACCCCACATGCAGCACTGAGACAACGTCCAGACAATCTTTACTTTAGATGATAGTTGAGGGATCAATATTTATCAAGAAAAGAGGAGACCTCATTTGCTCTTTGAACAGTACCACAGAATTTTTGAAGAACTTGGAGAGAACAATTTGACTATTTAGTGACTGATTTACTCAGCCTGTACTGTCTGCTTCAATATTAGATGATGCCAAATATTCTGACATTTGTGGATGGCTGACCAATTGACTCCTACACTGATGCTGAATAAAGTCTGATAGATTTTAACAGGATTCCCGTAGGCTGCTATCGTGGATTCAGAGTTCAACAAACCCTGGCTTCGATTATAAGTTCCCACAAAAGGATTTACATTTTAATTAGTCTCCTGTGCAAAGGTACTCTCAGATTTGATCTGTGCTTTGTGCTGATGTAGCTCCTCCTACCTGAAGTGAAGATAGACTACAAGTGGCTTCAGCCGTAAGGGAGAAGGTGGAAAAAAAACCCAGATTTGTCCGATTGTCTTGTGCCAGGACTGTGAAGTACATGTGATAACACAATATAAATAGTTATGTTGTAATCTAGTCTAAAATAATCAAGATTATATTTGTTTTACATAAGAACCTTTAAAATAAATACACTTCAGAATGAAGACTATTAACAGGAATATTAAAATATGTAATAGCAAACAGCTTCTGTTTTCAGAAAGATTAAGCTGCACCAGCTCTGATTTACACTTGCCTCCAGATTCAAATGCAGTATTTCTTGTAAATTGTCAGATTTGAATTCCATCGTTTCCTGGACTACTAGCTGCTTTATCTCTGGCATTTCTGGAAATCTGCCATCTAATAGGAACTGTGATACTAGAGCAGAGAGATTACTGGAATGGGCATCACCATTCCCAATTCTGAGGGAGAACGTTCTCCTGTGACAAAGATTGATGCAGGCAAATGCAGGGATGGAAGGTTCTGAGGTTAAAATGGATGGGACCCATTGGTTGAATTTGGTGTAACAGTACTTCAAGGCAGTAGCTCAGGAGAAATGGTGAACAGGAGAAAGGAATTGGGAGATGGGTGAAGCTGTAGACGTTGCCCTGTTTACATTGCAGAGCAGGTTCCAAAGCAGCTGGAAAATTCAGAAAAATAACGGAGAAGGTTTTAAGCAATGATTGACAAGTTTATTCAGAACCCAAATGATTCCCTGACCTCGACTCCTGTAGTTGGAAAACACACATTCCCAGCCTCTGAGATATCCTTGTATCCACAGTATGTGTGTAGTTGGTCCAATTATGTTTCTGATTAAGAATGTTAATGATGGCCAATCTGACGATGGTGATGTTGTTGACTGTTAAGAGGAAGCTGCTGTAATCTGTTGATAGTCGTTGCATGATGGTTGTGTGATGCAGATGTCACTTGCCATTTTTCAGACTAAGCCAATAGGTTGTACAGTTTTGTTGTAAGCAGGCACATACTAATTCAGAGATAACAAGGTGTAGAGCTGGATGAACACAGCAGGCCAAGCCGCATCAGAGGAGCAGGAAGGCTGACGTTTCGGGCCTAGACCCTTCACATACAGTAGTTAAGGAGTTACAAATAGAACTGAAGACTGCGCAGTCATCAGCGACGTTTCACACTTACAACTCCAGGTTGGAGGGAAGATCATTAATGAAGCAGCTGAAGATTTTGCGTCTAGAATACCATCCTGAAAACTCCTGCAACAATGTCCTGGGGCTGAGCTGATTGACATCCAACAAGTCGAACCATCTTCCTTTCTGCTAGGTATGAGTCCAGTCAGAGCAGACATTTTGCCCTATACCCAGTGACTTCAAATGCACTAGGGCTCCTGGTGCGATGTTCAATGAAAACCTGCCTGAGTGTCACGGGAGCACAATCTCACATCGAGTTCTGTTCCATAGTGGATGGTGAAAGAACCCATTGTTCCACCAGAGGGAGCCCCAGTCTACAGGTTCAACATAAGCTGTGGGTATTTATTTCATCGATAAATTGCTGACTTCTTTTCCATCACCTGACCATCACACACAGTCTGAAGTTGTTACAGCGACCTGTTTGTGAACAAGCTGATCCTGACAGGCAAGGTGTTTCCGAATTGATCACGCGCCTGCCATGTGCATTTTGACTTGACCTCTGTTCCGTTCTCGGTCCTTTGGAAAGGAGCATCTCGTCTGAAGTGTTCAGCATGAAGACTGGGGTGAGGGGGAGAAATGTAATAATCAATTATTAATCAATAAACATAAATAATCAATAAACACATACCAACCAGCAGGAAGTCTTTTAAAATCTTTGGTACTCAGATTAGGGGCCAATTATAAACAAAAATAGAAATTGCTGGAAAAGCTCAGCAGGTCTGGCAGCATCTGTGGACAAAAATCAGAGTTAATGTTTTAGGTCCAGTGACCCTTCCTCACAGCCAATTATAAATGTCATTTTGTCAACCACTGCTTAATTGGCAATACTACTTTAAGCATAAACTGCCTCCATGAGCCCAGGTAGCTCAGCTGGTGGAACACCAGGCTTTTAATAGGGTTGTGTAGTGGTAATGTCACTAAACTCATGTTCCAGAGACCCAAACTAATGCCTTGAAGACATGGGTTCAAACCCCATTACGGCAGATACTGAAATCAGATATTCAACTCCCTCCATCCTCAGTGGCTGTAGTGTATATATCAATTACAGGATGTACCAAAGTAACTGACCATTAGCTCCTCCAAACCTGCTGCCTTCACCACCAAGGGCAGTAGCTATTCCTTCGTTGTCACTAGATTAACATCTGTGAGCTCCTCACCAAACAGCATTGTGGCTGTATTTTCAACAAATGGACTACAGGTTCTTCAAGAATGTGGATCATGTGTTTTCCTGTGAGGATTGAGCCAGCAAGGTCCAAATCCTGAGCAAAAACAGAAGTTGCTGGAAAAGCTCAACAGGTCTGGCAGCATCTGTGAAGAAAAAAATCAGAGTTAATGTTTCAGGTTCTGAGGAAGGGTCACCAGACCCAAAACGTTAACTCTGATTTTTTTCTTCACGGATGTTGCCAAACCTGCTGAGCTTTTCCAGCAACTTCTGTTTTTGTTCTTGATTTACAGCATCCACAGTTCTTTTGGTTTTTATTTAGTATCCAAATGCTGAGCATTTGGTTAAGAAGAAATAAGCTCATGATTTCAGGATGTGGTGGGGTTCTATGCTCCAGTAATTTCCCCTAAAAGCTGCAGAGGGCATGGTGCCAGAGGTTAATACACTGTAAAAACAATGAGAAAATGCTGATTGCTACCGTTAACCATGGGGTTAGAAATGAGAGACATCATCTGTGCTTCCTGCTCCCCTTTACCATCCACAGTCCCGATTGTATCTGTATCCTGTGTGTGAACGATGGATTCTGACTCTGATATCGCTACTAATCTTGGTCCCCTTCCCAAGAGGTCGTTCTCTATGCAAGCCTGGATTGTGTGAGGCCTGCAGATGATTGGTTGTGGAATCACCACATTTAAGGTCATTCTCTTCATGCATCGACTGTCCAGAAGGCAGCACCAAACAGTGACCATGAGCAGGTTTTTGCCCCCTTCTGAAGCCAATTGTAGTTCAACAACTGCCCTTCCTCACGAATCAGCTAAATGCAGCAACGAGCAGCAGCAGACTTGGTAAATTTGCTCCAGGCAGGACACACATTCACGGAGCCATTGGATAGAACAGAGCTGTGACACTTACTAATTCAGGTGGCTGTGTTCTTGTCGTTCGGGCACTGACCACAGGTCCTCTCTCAGACACTTCAATACCTCTGTAATCAGCACATGGTTCACACTGGATGTCCTTTTCCTCATTTGATGCAGTAGCTGATGAAATGGAATGGCAGATTCCTCAACAGAATTGACAAAGCTTGGGTCCGTTCCCTTTGTTTGCCGGTCTGGCAATCTGCTCTGAAAGTTTAAGATGTGTCAGTTGCAATAATCTATATTTTTACACAAAGTTAATTTCCAAATACCGTGAAGTGAGTGTGAGGGGTCCATGTGCCAGCCCAGTGAGTAAATATGCCACCCTGCAGCTAAATTAATGTACAACCCAGGGAGAAGGTCCTCACAGAGATGGATGGAAAATTTGGAAGATTAAGGACAAGTGAAACCACAAGGTCTGCCCATGGCCCATGGTACAACTGGCTCAGTGTTTATGATTAAATGAGATGGCAAAATTGGTTGGGAGTACATGTGAAGCTACGATGAAGTTTGACTTTTACACTTCACATGAAAGAGAAGCCTGCCAACTTCTCCAAAAATAGGATTACATGTTAGTAACAAGTAGGGAATAGCTGAGGCACCCATACCCCACTTGAAAAGGGGATAATCTCAGAGTAAAGGGGTCACCCATTTAAGACAGAAGTGAGGAGGATATTTTTTTCTGAGGGCAGTCAATCTGTGGAATTCTTGACAGCAAACAGCTATCAAGGCTGGATCATTGATAATGTTCAAGGCTGAGATAAAAAGATTTTTATTCTGTAAAGGAATCAAAGGTTGTGGGGATAAGGCTGGAAAGTGGAATAAAGGATTATCAGATCAGTTGTGATCTAATTGAATGGTACAGCAGAGTTGATGGGCCGAATAGCATACTTTTGGTCCTACTTCCTACAGTAGGTGGAAACCTAGTGGTAACACTCATATTTCTGAGAGGACTGAATGTTCTCTCTGGAGTAACAGAAAACAGAAGTTAGAACTGTTTCCCTGTCCTAAAGGAAATAGTGACTCATTAAGATTACGATGCGGGCCCCCTCTTACTTGGCATGAAGATGGATTCTCCCTGTCTAGTTCATAATGAGTTCTTAAAGTTGGAGGACCAATCAGCCACCTTCCAGTTTGAGAGGAACAGGCTACAGTGGCAGGTATGTCAGGGAGAAGAGTGTTCTCACTAACACTTTTAAAACTTTCTTTCAAAAATAGTTTCAGCACTCAGGCCCCTACTGTTCAAAGAGGGTTGGAGAAAAGGCAGAGTTGGCAAACCCTCTCTGGGTGACGTGCCAAAACAGATACGCCAACAGGTTAAAATGTTCAGCCCTGCCTAGACTGCCAGTACCCCTGGCCTGCCAACAAGCACCTACATTGTACCCCTGTGGATGCAGGAATCTGATGGTTGGCTGGAAGTGATAATGTTAACACAATGTGGGGCAGATAATACAGTGAGAGTGATACAATCTCTGTGGACATGATGGGGATCCCATCAGGAAACCAGGCCAGTGCTGGTATTTTTGACTCTTGCCCACCTCCAGTCCCACTCCTGATGGTGCTTGCAAATTCAGCCCAGAAAATTGTGGGTTCAAATCTCATTCCACAAATTTGAATGCATCATCCAGTCTGGTGGTCTAGGGACAGCTGGTGGGTTGTGGTGCACAGTTGGAGGGGGGGGGGTTGCAGGTTATGCTTCACTGTTGGAGGTTTTGCCTAACAGATTAGACATCACATTCACGCGTGTGGTGCTCTCTTTAAAAGATCTCCTGGTACTATTTCAAAGATCAGAGTGTCCTAGACAACACTTATCCCAAATATTTACCTCAACATCATTAAAACAGATTTTTTTTTTGCTCATTGTCCCATGATTGATGTACCAGAGACCCTTCTGTGTACAAATTGGCTGCTGCAATTTCAACTTTTACGAAAATTAGCTATAAAACCTTTCGGGAGAGATGCAGTAGCGAAAAGCACAGCGAGGAAGTTGTGAAAGGCGTTCTATAAATGTAAGTCCTTTATCTCGGGTTTCCTCATTGGCCCTGCTCTGTGCTGCACTGTGCATCTCAGTAAGCATCAGTAATAAGTCCTGCGATGGAATATAACAGTGGGGACCTCATTTTGCAAAGTGCACATGTCTGCACGCCAAGTAAGGACTGGATTTGATGGCTCTGGGGTCGGGATGTGTATACTCCCGTCAAGGTGTGAGAAACTGGTTTCCCTTTATTGGTGCCAGGAGGAGGAGTGAATGCAGAGGGGCCAGGCTGTCTACCAGAATAAGGGAGAAGCTAAGCCCCGCTTTCCTCACCTCTCTCTGCGAGCTCCAGCCGCTGCTTGTCCGGAGGAGCTTCGGAAACGAGACGAAGGGCTTATCCGCCGGGGGCACGCGGTGGTCAGCCGTGGCACCGGCGCCGTATGGAGTCCCCTGCAGGAGGCGGACTCCTGAGGTGCGGCTGAGGGGGCGAAGAGGAGCGGCCACCCTCTGGCCAGGGGCCTTCACCAAGGCTGGCAGGGACATCTTCATTTTCCACAGTCCGTCACTCTTGGCGTGGCCGCCCCTGGGGTCTACCCGTCTCTGCCGCTTGGGTTTATCCAGGGTCAGGGTGGATCCGGGTGAGGGATCTCCCTTAGGGGAATCACTTTCAGAGGGATCTGCCTTGGGGGGTGGGGGACCTGCCTTGGGGGGTGGGGGACCTGCCTTAGCGGGTGGGGGACGTGCCTCAGGGGGTGGGGGATCTGGGGCTGGGGTATCTCCCTCACTGGGTGGATCCCCGATCTCCTCAGCAGCCTCCGGCGGCTCTCGGACTCGGGCTAAAGCGGCCCGGAGATCCACTGTGATCCTTTGCACTCGCCTAGGGCCCGGCTGTCCGGAGAGGGTAGGGAAGTTAGCAGCAGCTTTGCCCCGCACATCGCCGGGCTCCTGGGGCTGGCTGTGTACCCCAGCGGGGGTAGGGACCCGGGGGCACCGTACACTGCCCCTCCAGCCCCTCCGAATGGTCAGCGCTGCAGACAGCGGCTCCTTGTCCACTGCGGTCTCCCCGAGGCGGAGGCAGCGCCCCAACAACAGGCTGAGGTCGAGCGGCCGAGCGGGTGGCCCCTGTCTCTCGCACCGTCTGCTCGCCCTCACTGCCCGGAGGCGGGGGTCCATGCCCCCCGCCCCCAACCCTAACCCTGGGGGTGATCACACAACACCGGGACTGCCACCCAACAAACATTCACTCTAATATATTCCCTCCTGCTCTCCTGAAGACGCTGTCTCCTGTTCGAGTCCCACTTCTCTCTCGGATCCAAGTCCGGAGTGCCTCACAGGCTGATTGATTGTGGGAGGCAGTGCAGGCAAGCCGGAACTTGTGCAGGCGCTTTCCAGATGGGTAGGGGGTTGGTGGGAGGGAGGGTCACGGAAATGGGGAGGGGGGAGCGGTGTCACTGGAGTGGAGGAAGGGTCCCTGAGGTTACTGGAATGAGGACAGGGGCACTGAGGTGAGGAGACGGGAGTCACTGGGTAGGGAAAGGGGTCACTCTGTTAAGAAGAGCAGCCAGAGAGAGAGGTCATTGGGTGAGGAGAGATGAATCTGAAACCTACAGTAACAAGGCAAAGAATAATTTTGGGACTAGCACGGAAGTTATGGGGATGTAACTGTAAACAGTGGTTTCTATAGACACCACCGGGAACACAATGATGCTAGTCAGTCTGAAAAGATTTCCTCCTTTCTTTGTAACCAGTGCTGTTCCAACTGATTTTAGAAATGGTTGTTGGCAAAGGAAAGTTCAGTTTTCACTCTATGCTGAGTTATACAGTCACAGCCGGGGCCGGGGGCGGGGTGGGGGTTGCGAAGCAGTTAGAGTGTTAGAATTGGTTTCCATGTTCCTGCATTCCTCCCTTCAACTGTTACCAAGTGCACTTCTGTAATAAGGTGTGCGTGAGCATAGACTAAGGACAGATTGGGTTGCATCAAATAGCCCACTAAACTTGCAAGAAAAGCTGTGACTTCGCTCAGGTAGTATGGAAGGCAGCTGTCTTGGTAATATTTAAATCTTTCATGGAACAGGGTATCAATGGTAAGACCAACATTTGTTGCAGATCCCTAACTGCCCTTGAATTGAGTAGCTTGCTGGGCCATTTCATAGAGCACTTAAGAGTCAATTTCTGTGAATCTGAAATCACACATAGAAGAGAAGTTAAATGTTTCTGGATGAAGTCCAGTCTACACTTTCGAGTTGGAGTTTTATTTCAACCAACCATCCTCCATAAAACTCTCTGACCTTCTGGCTGATTAATTTTAATGTATAGTCTAATTTTTCTTTCATTAACCAGTTTGGACTTGTTGGGACAGGTGGAACTTGAATCCAGGTCTATCACTGTGCCACAAGACCCTAAACCAAACCTAATACACTTCTGGCAAAAACAAAATAAAACTAAATTGATTCGAATTAAAAAATAACCCAGATGGTGCAGTTAGTAAAGAGAAAACTGAAAATCAGTTTAAAATTTAATTGGTGGGGGAATTATGCAACCCAATCCTCCCACTGCCCAATGGCTCTAACATTTTCGAATGTTCCATCAGACAGGCCCACGAGCAGACTGATGAGGAGCTTTTCGGACTTGCTCATTCCCTTGCAATTTGTGCCCAAAGATCAGGAGTATGGGGCTGAAGTGTAACCACAAATTCAACACAAGATCCCTTAAATAAGAAAACAGTCACCCCACAATCAATGTACATGTGGTCAATAGAAAATGCAGTTGGCCTGCCTGGGGTGGAGAATTCCAAATATCCACTAATGTCTGAGTGAAGAAATTTCTCCTCATCTAAGTGTAAATAGTCTGGCCCTTATTCTGAAAATAAATTCCTGGCTCTCGACTCCACAGCTGGGGAATCATCATTTTTGCTTCCATTCTGTCTATCCCTTTCAGAATTTTATAAATTTCTCTGAAATCATCTCTCCTTGTAAACTGATTTTTGTAAATGCAGTTGTTGTTTGCCAAGCAAAACAATCTAAATGTTGATTTTTGTCTCTTGCTCCTTTATTTTAGATTCCACGTTACCTCTTTCAGGCACACAACTGAGCAATGATGGGTCTTAGTCAGGATCAAGGACTCTGGGGGCTGCCTGGTAATCAGAGGCTGGCAGCTGTGTGCCACTGAGCAGTGCCACTGGGGCATCAGTGACCAAAGCTACAAACACACCCACTTGAAATAGGATCGCCAAGGGAGCCAGGCCATTGTTGAGTGATGTTAGGAGTGGGGTTAATGGGTTAGGGGATTGGGGGTCAGCAGAAAGGGCAGTGACATGGTTCTGAGTGGATACCCCTCTGCTGTTGCCAGGACTCTGGATCAAGCAGTGAGTGCCTTTGAAAGAGATGGTTTGTTTCTCAGGTTGCTCACATGGCGAGTTGCCACTATCTGAATAACTGGAGTGGCAAGCTAAGGACCTTAATTGTGATGGGGCTTCCTGACACCGACTCAATCAGAGCAGCGGTTAGAAGGCAGCAGAGGCTAGAAGGCAACAGAGTCCCTCCCGCCTGAATAGATGCACCTCACCACCCCTCACCAAACTGTCTGTTAGGGGAACATGGTAAATTCCAGCCAAGAGGCTGTTTCATTTGAAGAGAACAAAACTGGAGGCCATCATTATAAGATAGTCTTCACCACAGCACGATGGCTCAGTGGTTAGCGCTGCTGCCTCACAGTGCCAGGGACCCAGGTTTGATCCCACCCTTGGGTGACTGTCTGTGTGGAGTTTGCACATTCTCCCCATGTCTGCGTGGGTCTCCTCCAGGTGCTCCAGTTTCCTGCCACAGTCCAAAGATGTGCAGGCTAGGTGGATTGGCCATGCTAAACTGCCCATAGTGTTCAGGGATGTGTAGATTAGGTGGGTTATGAGGGATGGGTCTGGGTGGGATGCTCTGAGGGGTGGTGTGGACTTGTTGGGCTGAACGGTCTGTTTCCACACTTTAGGGATTCTATGGAAGAAATCAAACAGAATTCAAGGCATTTTCTTTACCCAGAGAGTAGTGAGAGTATGGAACTCACCACCAGGGGGAGTAGTGATGTGAATGTTAAAAATCCATTGTAGAGGATGTTAAATATAGGGGTTTGGTGTTATTCTGACCAGAGTTAAATGAGAAAGGATGGGAGGAGGCCTGAGTGGAGTATAATTGCGAGCACAAATATTTTCTGTATATGCTACATAGTGCTTCTTTGCAACACAGTGATTGGATTTTGTATTTAAGGGACAAGTGAACTTACACGCTAATGTCTTAAGAGCAGAATAATGCAGAAGAATATTATAGAATCCCTACAGTGCAGAAAAAAGCCATTCAGCCCATTGAGGCTGCATCCCACCCAGACCGAACACTCACACACTATCCCCGTAACCCTGAATTCCCCATGGCTAAGGTCAAAAATCACACAACCACCAGGTTATAGTCCAATAAGTTTATTTGAAGACACAGGCTTTCGCAGTCTCGCTCCTTCTTCAGGTGTCACTGAGAGAGGTGGCATCAGACACAGAATTTATAAGCAAAAGATCAAAGGGTCATAGATCTGATGCGAATGTATTGAACAAACCTAAAATGGCTGTTAAATCTTTAATCAGTTAGAAAGGATTAATATGCAAATCCCAGAATTTCTTTCAATTCACTGCCCTGAGATAACTAAAAGTTTTATCACTATACCAGAGGTGACATCTCAGGTCAGACAAGGTGTGAGCCCTTGTTTAGAATGTGGCTATGTATTAACTTGGAGTCAGATTGGTTTTATTTCCAAAGTAGGAATTTATAAAATGCCACATTGTCTACAAATTGTGTGTTTGTTGAACAAAACAGAATGTATCTGCAATTAAAAATCTGCAAATACAAAGTCACCTTTGGTATACTGAAAAAATCTTTAGTTATCACGGGGCAGTGAATTGAAAGAAATTCTGGGATTTGCATTTTAATCCTTTCTAACTGATTAAAGACTTAACAGCCATCTTAGGTTTGTTCAATACATTTGCATCAGGTCTATGACCCTTTGATCTGTTGCTTATAAATTCTGTGTCTGATGCCACCTCTCTCAGTGACACCTGAAGAAGGAGCAAGACTCCAAAAGCTTGTATCTTCAAATAAACCTACTGAACTAAAACTTGGTGTTGTGTAATTTTTGACCTTGCCCACCCCAATCTAACACCGCCATCTCCACATCATGTTTTCCATGGCTAATCTAACTAGCTTGCGCATCCCTGGACACTATGGGGCAACTTCTCATGGCAGTTCCACATAACCTGCTCATCTTTGGACTGTGGGAAGAAACTGGAGCACACAGCGGAAATTCACCCAGTCTCAAGGAGAATGTGCAAACTCCATACTACATACATTACGTACTGTGTTGCATCCTGCAGTAGGTCGGATGTTATAATAAACTTGTACATGTGAAAAAGGGAAAGCTGGGTTATAGTTTCCATTGAGCAGTCACCAGGGCAGGAATCCA